CCCGCTCGTGCGCTGTGCGGCAGCCGGAACCGCCGCCGCTGCCCGCCGTACTGCCCCGCCGACACCCACCCGGCCGCGCGCAGCCCGCCGGGAAGTCGAGTCCCGCCCTCACCGCCTCTGAGCCGCGGGAACTGCAACCCCCAGAAGGCGCAGCGGCGCCGTCACCTCTGAGGACCCGTAGCACCCGCGCGCGGCCTGCCGGGAAGTACGGCTCCGCCCCCCCAGCGACGGACGCTGGGTGAGAAGTGTACGCCGCCCGCCCCCCCCAGCAATGGCGCGTTTGCGAGGGCCCCCTGACCACGTGTTTAACCTGAAGCCTCGTCCCGGGCCCCCAGTACGTGAGGCACACCGTGGGGCCATCGCAGCCTCATGTGGGCTATGCGGGCCTTGCAGCCAGCCAGGCTTGTCTGGCGTTTCCTAGCCTCGGAGGCGGGCCAGCCTCACTGAAGCAGCAACTCTGTAGCTAACCGCTGGACACGGCTACACACCCACTCCACTGTGTGACAACGCGCCATCGGCCCCTCAGCACCCCAGCTGCCAGGTGTAGACCAAAACCAGCCAGCCTCGTAACCCCACCCCCATTCCAGTTCTTGCCCATTCACATACATCACCACCCTCCACCCCCAGGTCCTTGCTATGACGCCTCCATAGGGCACCTCGGGCTGGGTCACAAGACTGAGGTCACACACGGACGCCGGGGCCGGCAGCATCTGCACCTTTATGCACACTATGGGCCGGGCCAGACCATTCTATAAAAACGCAGAGGGGACAGGGAGTAAGTCCGGGGAGGGGCTGAGGTCACGCCGAGAGGTCACTGTTGTCAAAGCGTTCCTGGTCATACACCTCAGCCACCACCTTGCGGCCGGCAAACCAGCGCCCGTTGAGGGCCTGGATGGCTTTGTGAGTCTCAGAAGCCATGGAGAACTCCACGAAGATCTTAACTATGATCTCGGCGTCCTCCTCCTCGCCCTGCTTCTCCTGGTAGATGATGACGCGGTTGACAGCCCCGAACTTGCCGCACTCCTCGGTGACCTCCCCCTCCAGATCATCGTCAATGTCCTTCGGGTCCACCATGTTGCGCAGAACCATCACCGTGGACTGTGTGGGTGGGGGAAGGAGCATCTGAGTACCCGGGCCCACCTGGCCCCGCCCTGCGACCCTGGCCCCGCCCACTCGCCGGCCCACCTCCTGCTTGCGGAGGAGCTTCTGCATGACCATGTGGCGGGCGCTGCTGCCCGAGATGCTCATGTGTTCCTGTTCACTCAGCATCTCGGGCCGCTCTGACTCTGGAAACAGCTCCTCTTCCTCCTTCTCCTTTTTGGGCTCCAGCAGGCCCAGCGTGGGAGGGCTGGCAAGGATAGGGTTCACCACCCCCACAGAGGGGATGGTGACTGGAATGGGAGGGCGGGCCGGGGTCACACCTGCAGCACAATCAACCAGGCCGAGCCATGAGCCGTCACCCCTCCCAACCCTTCCCTGGAGGAAGGCGAGGGTGGCTGGCTGTGGGGGCAGAGCAAGGAAGGACCTCTCCCCTCCCACTCACCTGTAATGACACCAGGGGCCTGGGCAGCCATGACGGCCTGGGGCAGAGCGCCCAGAGGCTGGGCCAGGGTCAGGGCAGGTGACACCAGGCCTGGCGTGGCCAGGGTGCCCAGCACCGCTGCTCCAGCCACTGCTTCCTGCAACCCAAAGGCCACCAGGCTTAGTCCCCAAGGAGTCAGGGCTCATCTGCCCAGGATCAGAACCCCCCAGCTGCAGGCGCCCTCACCTGGGCGGTGATCTTGGCTGTGGCTGCAGCTGCGGCCACAGCAGCAGCAGGTGGGAGGCCTCCAGGTGTGGCAGGTGTGAGCAGGGGCATGGGGGGGGTGACGGCCTTGCCCACCCGCAAGTACTGGCCACCCAGGTCAAAGAGGTTCATGGAAGACACAGCATCCTGGGACGACTGGGCCTTCTCGTACTCTGTAGGCAGGGCAGCAGTGAGGGGGGCTGCCCCTGCCCTGGCCCCCACCTTGGCTTCCCACAGGCCCCTCAGCTCACCAATGAAGCCATAGCCCTTGTGCTTGCCGGTCGTGGGGTCTCGGGCCAGTGTGCAAGACTTGATCTTGCCAAAGGCCTCAAACACGCTCTTGATGTCATCGTCTGAGAGATCCTGGTGCACGGAGGCCACGTAGATGCGGTTGAAGGCTCTTGCCTCCTCAGCCAGCTGGTCGATGATGGGCTGGGCCTGCCCGATGTTGCTGGGCCTGCCCACCTGGGAGAGGGAGGGGCCACTCTGCATCTCTGGGGGCACACGGAGGGGCGGAGCAGTGGGCACCCGGGGCGGGAGGCCTCACCTTGATGTTCCTGCCTCCCAGCATCACCGAGTTCATCTGCTCCAAGGCCAGCTGTGCAGCTTCTGGGACCTCATACTCCACGAAGGCAAAGCCCTGGGCACAGGGACAAGCCCATGAGGCCGAGTGCCAAAGTGGCAGGCGGGCAGGCGGGCGGGCAGACACCACTGCTCACCTTGTGCTTCATGGTGACCGAGTCCCAGGACATGTCTATGCTCTTGATGGGACCAAAGGGGGCAAAGGCCTGCCGGATAGTGTCCTCCCCCAGCTCGTAGTAGATGGAGCCCACGTAGACCCGACACATGATAGCCAGAGCCCGCTGCCGCTGAGCCGCCATCTGCAGCGGGACAGAAGCGGGGAGAGAGCCACCAGCTCATGAACGAAGGCTGGGCCCGGGGAAGCCCGCTCCCCGTCTGCCCACCCGTCCAGCTCTGCCGTGGGGTGGGCACCCCACAGGGCAACAGCACAGGCCCAGCACCTGCACAGGGCTGTGGGGTCGGCAGGACCCCGCCCCCAGGAAGGCTGGCCTTAGCATGGCCCCAGGCAGAGCAAGGATGCACCAGAGACCACTCAGTCCCCGGCCGCATCACAGCAAGGCCAGCAGTCAAGGGCCGGCCGGGTGTCCTCCCTCCCAGTCCACCCTCCAGTCTGGGGTCAGGTACCCGGGCTAAGTGAGAGGGCCTCCCATAGGCCTGGCCACATCCTGCGGCAGAAAAGGGAGGGAGGGAGGAGGCATCCAGGTTGGAGCCCTGGGTCAGAGGCCAGAAGAGAGGCAGGTGGAAGACTGGGCAGATGGGCTCAGAAGAGCCCCTGGGGGGCAGGAGCCAGAGCCCAGTGGGCCCCAGAGGGAGGAGCGGCTGTTTGTGAAGCCGGCCAGCTGGCTCCCTGATACCCCGCAAAAGAGGGCTGCCTGGAGCCCCCCTCTGCAGCAGGTAAGCTTGGCTCTCAGGAGAAACTCGAGGCACCGGAGTACCCCAAGACAGGGCCTGGGGCTCCCAGTGCCTTGAGCCAGGGAGGTGAGCAGGCCAGACAGGCCGAGAGCCCAGGTCCTGGATGGACTGGCTGGAGTGCCAAGGGACTGGGTCTTCCCACCACCTCACAGAAGACAAGCCAGGCTGGGCCCTGGCCAGACACTTGCACCCACAGTGACTCCCTCAAGGGAGACGGCAGAGGCCTAGGGCAAGCAAATGGGGCCCAAGCCACGTGCCCCTCTCCACAGATGGGGGCTCCCCGCATTGTGGCATGACAGCAAGAGGCCCGATTCACCTTCCTCCATCAGCTGGCCTAGTGTGGGCCAGGCCTCATCAGAGGGCCTAGAAATAAGGCTCCCATCTCCCCCAAAGCAGAGCCCAAACCCCTAGGGTTCCTCAAGGGGCAGTGACTTCCTTCTGACCAGGATCTCCCCCAATAGGGGACATTCCCCCCTCAGAGCAGGCTCCCCAAAGCAGACTCCGGTTCTCTGCGTGGACAAGGACCCCGAAAGGTGGCACCAGGTGCCTTCCCTTGTAAGGGCCCTAGCCATGGATCTAGGGGCCACACCACCTCCTCTCCACAGGCTCCCTAACAACAGGTGAGCAAAATGATCTTCATGACACCTCCTCTGAGAGGGGCCCCTCCCAAAAGATGCTACGCTAGGCAGGACGCTGGCCTGCCTGCCCTCGTGTGAGGCTCCTGAGACCAGCACACTCAGGGGTGGGGTGGTCCACCTGCCTGCCCTCTTAGGGCAAAATCTTTGGAGAAAGGGCCATGTCTCCCCCTCAGCCTCCCCAAACTCAGGGCCTGGCTGCCTCCTGAGCCTCTGGGAGAGGAGGAGGCTGCCTGCTGGTCCCTGGCTGCTGCCTCAAGCCTAGCCACAGCCCAGGCCCCAGGCCTGGGGCCCGGGGCCCAAGCCCTCACCCTTCCCTCTAGCTGGCTCGGGGGGGCCCCCCAACCCCGCCCAGGCCAGCCGCCCTCCCCCAGGGTCTGCTGGGGCCTTGAGTTAAACCCCTCTCTCCTCGGGAGCCTGACCCCCGCCCGGGAGCCAGGGCAGCCTGGAGCCGGAGCGGCGCGGCCGTGCGTGGGGGCCGGGCAGTTGCCCTCCCTGACCGGCTGCCGCGCTGCGCTCCGCAGTTACCTGGCCGGTCAGACTTAAGGCGGGCCCTCAGAGGACGGGGCAGCCTCCCTGGGGCCGTCCCGGGGTGCCCGCACACTGGCCCGCCACGCCCGGCGCTCTGCTGCGCTCGTCCAGAGCGGGCGGGCAGCCAGGCCCCGGCTCACGGCTGCACGCCCCCCTCTAGCCCTGACTAAGGACATGAGCCCAGAAGAAGTGAGCGGGTCTATTGACCGATTGCAAAGGCGAGAGAGGATCTCCAAAGCCCATTGTCACTGCTGCCATCTGAAAGACAGTAAAGACAGAGTTCAGTCTGTTGGCGCCCGGCAGCTCCTGTCAGCACCTCACGCAGACAGCGGCAGGCCCGGTCCCCGCCCTGCAGCCAGGCCGCCTGCCTGTCTGCCCACACTGCTGGCCGACGCCGGCGAGGGGGCCGCAGGGCCCCCGCTGCCCAGCCCCACAGCCTGGCCGGCCGGCAGACACCAAGGAGGGAGGGGGGGGCAGAGGAGGGCCGCACAGAGAGCCAGGGCACCTTCTGGCAGCGTGCGCATCTGCGGGCCGGGCGGGGTGGGGCGCGAGGCCCAGGGTGCTGCTGGCCTTGCCTGGCTGCCCTGTGCAGGCCTAGGGCACTGCTGGGGAGGCGTCGGGGCCCAGTCCTGGGCAGCCGGCCTCGCTGCCCGTAGGGGGCCGGGAAGGGGGACAGAGGCGACAGTGAGGAGCTGGAGGCGGGCCGTGCGGAACGGCGGGGCTCTATCAGACCACCAGCGGGAGAGGCCGGGCCCCTGGTGCCTCAGGGAGGGCCTGGGGTCCCCAGAATGAGCCCCTGAGGAAGGAAACCGTAAAAGCTCCTGGGGCAGCAGCAGGAGCAGGAGCAGAGAGTGCGGAGGCGGCGCCGGCGGGGCGGGACTCCCGGCCAGCCCGGGGCGGGGCGCGCGGCCCGGCGGCTCACCTGCAGGTTGGTGAGCTGTTGCTGTTGGTGGGCGATGGTCTGCTTCACCAGCACGCTCTTGATGCTTTGCTCCATGGCGTACTTCTTGGCCTGCAAGAAACAGCCGTGAGGAGCGCTGGGGGCCGGCCCGGCGGGGACACGGCCTGCCTCCGACCGCCCATGTGTTCCCCGTTGGCCCCGGGGTGCCCGCTCACCTTCTGGAGGGCCTCCTGCTGTTCGGGCGTCAGGGGGGGCAGCCCCAGCTTCGCGGCCGTGCTCTGCCCGTTCTCCATCTTGATGGCGTCTGCGCCCTAGGGGGTGGGGGGGTCTTTAGGCAAGCAGCTCAAGCCTCCTTCACAGAGCCTCAGTGCCCGCACAGCTGCGCTCAGGGGCAGCCCAAGCCACAGCCCAGGCGGCACCACCAGCCTGGCCGAGGTCTGTCTTCCCGACAGGCGTCCTGTCCTCTGTCTCCCCAGCGCCGTCACAGACCAAGGCAGGCAGACAAAAGGACAGGGGAACCGTGCCCTTTGCTGTAAGCCTGACCCAGGATTCCCCCATGTCCACCGTGGCCCCAGTCCTCAGCTCCCTTCCAAGGCTGAGGTGTGGCCCAGGGCTCTCTGGCCATCTGAGACTCCCCACCCCCAGACCCCCTCAGAGCATGCAAAGAGCCTGCCATGGCCAGAGTCTGGGTACCCCTGATTAGTAGGCTTTCCAGGACCACCTGTGGGGCAAGTACGGGACAGGCCTGCCCACACACTGTGCTCCCTGTCCCCCCTGCCCGCAGCACTCAGGCTCAAAGCGCCCAGGGCTGCTCCTGAGACCCCAGCAACCCTAAAGGAGGCTCCTCGCGGGCTGTGCTCAGCCGACGGGACAGAGGAACAGAAGCGGACCGGCCCCAGGAGACGTGGCTGCCCAGCATCCGAGACCCACCAGCAGCCAGCTGGGTGAGTACGGAGCCGGGCAAGCAGGCCTGGGACACATGTGGTGTGACCGACGCTACCTGCGTTCCTTCCTTTGGGGAGAACAACCCCAGCGGCCCAGGCCCAGGTGAGCATGGGGCACACCTGCCTGTCGACCTGGTCATGGGTCCTTGGAGCCCCCACACTGCATGCAGGACTCCACAGAACCTTGGGGTGCACGCTGTGGCCATGCCCCAAAGCAGGGAGGAGGGAAGGGGTGACGAGACACACAGAGGGGCTGTGGGACCCGTGGCCCAGGAACCCACTGGCCAGCCCCTTGGGCTGGGTTTGGGACTCAGGGCCAAAGGGCAGAAGGACCCAGAGGCCCCTGGGGTCCCCAGCAGCTCCTGGGGTCAGGCCTGTCTGTCCTCTCCAACCCTGCTGGCCTGAGCCCAGTGTACCGCAGGGGGTGGGGCCCCAAGAGGAAAGACTGGGACGCTGAAGCCGCTGTCACCACGGCAATCAATGCCAACCCCCCAGCCCCTTAGAAACTCTTCAATGCCCTCTTTGTCTTGGTAACAAAAGGCCCTTCTCCCACCAACCAGTAGCCTTGGACAAGCAGCCCAGGCCGGGGAGGGCCTCCCCAGCCAGCCAGCATAGCAACCACAGCTTCCCAGGACCCACGCGCATCCCCCGCCAGTGTGCCTGGGGCCCCTGACAGGCCCCCCCTGGAGGCGAGACAGTCACAAGGCGCATGCAGAACCTCAGGCTCAGCCCACAGCGGCTGGCTCCTATCCGCAGGACACACACCCAGCCCTGGAGTCCACCCAATGAGAAAGCTGGCCTGGCTCTAAGTCCCACCCAGCGCTGTTTCCCACCCACAGCTACTGCTGTGTTGTCTTGTTTAGACAACGACTGGACATCAAAGTTTGTATTTCTGACCTCTGGAATGGGGTGCCCACCTCATCCCATGGCACTGGTGGCTGGGCCCCCACCGCGCCTGGCCACCACCTGCTGGACTGGAAGAGGCACTGACAGCAAGCTGGGGCAGGCCCAGCAGCTGGGCGCAGCGGGGGGGCCACTGGGACCTCGCCAGGAAGACACAGGAGGGTCCCTTGGGGCCCCCAGCCAAGCATCTATCTTGGTTCTGGGGTGCGCAGGCGGGCGGGCGGGCCTCGGGGAGAGGAGATTTAAAGCCAGTACCTGTGGAGGCTTCCACTTGACTGCCGCCGCGGCCGCCACTGCCACCGGCTCAGACGCCCCTCCTGGCTGCCCACTGACCTGCGGCTGCAGGGATGGGATGCGCTCAGGCCTGGCGCCCCGCCTCACCTTGTCCCCAGCCAAGGGCTGTGCTCCCCGTGCAGCACAGAGGCAGCCCGGTGGGCAGGGTGAACCAGTCCCCTGGCCTGATGGCACCTCACACTGCCCACCTTCAACCCTACCAGCCTGCAGCTGCCCAGGGCGCGGCAGACACCAGCCAGACCTGGGGCAGCCCAGAACTGGCATCATGTACCAGAAGCCAAGCTGTGCCCCCACCCAAGGCCAAGGGCAAGCTGTCCCGCGGCCACCAGCTCTGTGGCCCTGAACATCAGTTCCACTCCCACCCAACAGGCAGGGCCACCTCCCTAGTACACTACAGAGGCCCTCGTTCCAGCCTCACCCAGCCCTGAAGACCTCTGAGGGGTGCAAAGAGCTGCCCCCCTGCCCCAGCAAACTGTCAAGGTGCCTGTCTCCTGGGAGGGCATCAGAGAGCCTGGCCCCCTCTCTGCAGGAGGCGGGCAGGGGGCTCGCAGCCACAGGTCGGGAGCTAGTGGCTGCGTGCACTCACGCTGCTCCCAGGCTACCAACGACACTGAGGACAGGCAGGCCTGGGAGCCCTGGCCTTGAGGCAGTGGGAGTGTGGACCACAGAGCCATCCCAGTCTGGCCCAGCTGCTGCCCCAGAACAGGAACCAGAGCAAAGGTGAGCCCATGACAGGGTGCTCACCCAGTGGGCACTCGAGGGCGCCAGAGTCCAGCTTTGCCCAATGCCCTGTGGGCCCCACAGCAGCCCTGGGACAGAGAGGCTGCTCTAACTGGTGGCCTCCCAACACCTACAGCAAAAGCCTTCTCAGGGTCTGGGGGTGCAGCCCAGCCTGACCCCATGGACGGGGGACCATGCGGACATATCCATAACTTGCAGCTCCCCCAGATTAGTGCCATAGCCCAGTCCACAGCTGGAAGTCAGATACAGCCTTAGAAGAGGCTTCTGAAGGCCAGTTCTCTGGGAAGGGCCTATCCCACACTCATATCAGAGCCGGAGCTCCCAGGTCACTGAGGCCTAGAACTCGGCTGAGCCCATGTAAGGAGCACCAGCTGATCAAGGTGTCTGGGGCCCACCCACAACAGCAGCACAACATGGGAGCTGAGCCAGGCACCTGTGCCCGGCCTGTGCCCCCACACCCCCCGACACACGGAGCAGGAAAGGTCGACAAGAAAGTTCACCAATGTGGACACACTGTGTGAACTGCTCTCCTGGGCCCTTCCAGCCACAGTCTCAGGACTCCCACAGCACGACTGGGTGGGCACGGTGCAGTGAAATGCCCGGTCGGGCTCTCCCAGCCATGGTCTTTGTGCCTCCCGCCTCCCCATGACAATGGAACCACGCACATGCAAGATGCCTGTGACCCACCAAGGGGAGTGGGTAGCTTGTTAAGAGAGGAAGGAAGCTACGTGGTCCCTTTAGAAATAAAGTGTTCAGGACTCTAACGTTGGGATTGGTTACTTTCGTCACCCTACTGGGCTTAAAGCAAACCCTCCAGAGGCTGAATCGGGGATCTCATTGCCATCGAGAGAGGAGGGCTGGAGATGAAAGAAGTGCTCCTTGGACCCGAAGTCCCTGTGCTGGACCTCCTCGGCAGAGAGACATCAGAGAGGACCAGTGGAGGGAAGGCAGCAGCAGACCCGCGAGGCTGGCGTGAGACAGTGGGAGCTCACTGGCCCACGGAGCGAGAATGTTGAGTGCCCTTGGGCAGGGGGCTGGCTGGTGGAGTGGGGTGCACCTGTCGGCAGAGCTGAAAGAGCTTTGTACCACTTGCTCAAGCAGGGCAGAGGCTGAGAGGCCAAGGGCCAGACAGGCAAGCCTGAGGACACAGCAGGAGAGAGACTGTCCTAATCGAAGAACTGCACCCTGAGCGTTCCGAACCTGACCTGCAGCCTGTTACTTTCCTACCAAACTCCATTGCTGTCAGTATTGTGTGTGCGCTGTGCGGCCACTGCAAGGAACTACTGAACCCAGCAGAGTAGTGAGTGCTGGGGGATAGATAAATGATGTCAGAGTTAGTAAAGTTTGGAGGGTGATGGCGGGCCTGGCTTTCTAGGAATCAGACTCGGGCTGCTGAGGGGGATTTGGTTTCCCCTTGTGAGGTCAGAAGAGGTCAGAGGACGCCATTCTCATGTCCTTTGTACAGTGGGACCATATTTGTACAGTGCTGGTGGCCCACCAAGAGGGAGCGTTGCCAATTCAACTAAGGTGCGTGGAATCCTTGTGGGGCAGTTCTGCCATATGCTAGGCTTCAAGGGAACCAATCCTAGAGACTGGGGCGTCCGTGGGGCGTGGGGCAGGCGCCTCACTACCATGAAGAAAAGCAGGAAGTGGAGCATGGCCTGGAGATCCACCGTGCTGAGGCCCTCCTAGACCCAGGAGACAGACAGCTAGCACACTGAAGACAGCCTGGGCCAGCAGGCTAGGCTGCCAGGGAGGAGAGCTGAGTACCTGTGGGCAGGAGGCTTCCTGGTGGAGTGGGGGGCCGCTGGGCACTTATCTGCAGAGCTACAGAGCTTAGCTGCCCGTGGGCCTGGATGGGGTGATGCCATTCTAGTTGAACGTAAGCTGTTATTTCCCTAATAAACCCCGGTATTGTGAGCACAGTCTGAGTTCTGCGTGGCTGCTGCAGTCAGTTACTGAACCCGGCAGAGCAGCAGAGTGCCGTGGGTAGGGCGGCTGATGGAGGAATTGGCAAAAAGGTTACAGGGCAGAAGTGTCTGCCCTCTGCCTCCTCACCTCTCCCCCTGAAGTTAAGATGAGGTCTGACGCCACCAGGCCAGGTGTACCTGGGACCCGGGGCCTCCCTCATGCCTGGGCTCTGCAGGCCAGCAGGATGGTGAGAGTGCCTCTCTCCCAAGGCAGCTACACATGTCATGGCCGTCACACACGTTCACGTCACCTGAGCAGTGAGTCTCAGAGATCATTAACATCGTCCCAAGACCCAAAGACAAGCCCCCAAGAAGAGGGTGGGAGGCAGGAAGTGGCTGCCACTAGTCGAAGCGGCTCCAGTCAGAGAGGCTGAGAGTGATGACCATGGAGCAGGGAGAGTGGTGTAAGCAGCCAGGAGGCAGTGCTGCTGCTGGGCCCAGGAAAGCCTTCATGCTGAAAGGGCCTTAGGAGCCAGGCACGGCCACAAGAGGACAGGACCCAGACGTCACTTCCAGAAACCCTCCCACCCAGAGGGTTGTAAGGAGACCACCTCAGGGCAGGCCAGCCCTCGTGCCTCAATGCACTGGGTCAGCAGAGAATCAGAGCCCCCGAGAGGATTCCAACGGGCAGCCAACACCCCTGTGGGAACCCTGTCCTGAAAGGCTGCAGGCTGACTGCCCACGTCCACCCTGAGATGACAGCACCTGCACCATGCCCTCATCCCCAGGAGCCCTCCACACAGCCAGCCCCTCCCACAGGCAGGGCTTAGTGTTCATGCTGCTGGGGGGACCTGGGGAGGCGGGGACGCGCCTGCTGGCCTCCTGACATCTCTACCAACCCATGCATCCCACTCCTCCTCTCCTCTGCCCTTCACCACCCAAGTCTCTGACCACTATCTGGGCGGTCACCAAATCCTATCCTGTCACCTCTTTTCCCTCTAGCTTCTCCCTCCCAAAGGTCTTCTGCTCCATTGGCTTCCCCAGGAAGCAGGACATGGTAGGGAAAGGACACGGAAGCTGGCCAGGCCCAAGAGTCGCACCCTGGGTCACCAGCTGGGGGTTCCTGTGCAAGGGCCTCTCCCCGGCCCTGAGCCCCCAGCTCAGACCTCTCCCTGCCCTTCAGGGGTCTCCCGCCAAAGCTGTCCTTCTCAAGCAGAGCCTCACCCATCCCTCTGGGCATGGGCTGAGGCAGGGTAGCAGGGAAGAGCCAGTGCCATCACCAAAGCGGGCAGAGAGAAGGACCTCGCGTGCATGGACGCGTCCCTGGAGCCAGAGAGCGAGCAGCTGTTTGCCGCCCATGCCGACCACCCTGGTGGCCGCCGGAAGGAGGGCCTGTGCAGCCCTGCCCGCAGAGACCAGCCCTGAGCAGAGAGCGCCTTTCTCTGGGAGCCCACGCCTCACCAGCGCGACTCCCTCAAGGACCCAATGCGTGACACCTGGTCTGCGGTGCCCACCAGACAGCCCCCGACAGGGCAAGAACCGCCCGTCTGGTCCCCCCTGTGCCCAGAAGTCCCCGCACAGCACTTTCAACCAAGGAAAAGGGCTCAAAAACGTTCACGAGCCGAGACTTTCGCCCCTCCTGCGTGCACATAACAGGCCGAAGCCCCTGCCACCCGGGGCAGAGCACCAGCGAGCGCCGCCCGCACAGCTGGGGGGCAAGGCGCCAGGGCACGCCACCGGGCGGCTTCTGCAGGCTGCGCCCCCTTCTGGTCCCCCCATGGGCCCAGTGGCGCAACCCTGGGCACCCCCTTTCGCGCAGACAAGCAGGAAAAGCAGACGTCATCACCCCCAGGAGCCCTCATCTAGAGTCGGGGCCACCGGCGCACGGCCCGTCAGCTGAGACATAACGACCACCCCATCGTCCAGCTTTGCCGGAAGGCATCAGGCACGGCGGGCGCAAGGCAAGAATCGCGCCGGAGCCTGCTCGGCCCGAAGGAGGCCGCGGGACAGGGTCGGGAACGACGAAGGCGACACCGGCGCTCCCAAGACAAGACCCCGGAGCCCCTCTCGCGAGCCGCGCGCCACCGGCAACTGGGCCCACTGCGCGGGGCCGGCCGGAAGCTGTATTCCGCGAGCCGGAAGCTGTATCCGCGGATCGAACCGGGCGGCGCGCTCCCGCCTCCGCCCCGCCCCCGCCTCACGCAACGAAGGTCCGAGGAGGTCTGCGCGGGGCCCGGGAGCGGCGCCGCGCCTCCGAGGGCCTTCCGCGCCCTACGCCGGACCCCTGACCTGCGCCTGCCAGCTGAGAGGCAGCTCGCGGTGACGGGGGCTTCACTTACGAGGGCTATGGTCGCCGCCGCCATCTTGCGTCCGTTGCGGCCGCCGCGCGCGCCACTAGCTCCTGCTCCCTCTGCGGTCTCGCGCGATCTCGACTCCCCGGATCCCGGAAAGTATGGAACACTCGCGATAATAGGCCTTTTCTCTAGCAACGTGGAGGGAGAAAGGAGCGTGCTTCCGGGGCGGGCGGGGACAGTAAAAGCACCCGAGAGGGGCGGGCGGAAGTGGGCGGGCCCAGAGCCGGAGGGGCGGGGCCGGGCAGGTGCGTTTGGCGGGATCACTGGTGTCCCAGCCCTTCCCCCTCACCGTCCTACCCTCTGAAGGCCCGACCCCCGCCTCCTGCAACAGCAGTCTGGCCCAGTCGGGCTTCAGCGCGCAGACTTCTGGCGGCCATTGCTCCGTTTCTCAGGTTGTGGGGCCTCTGCTCTCACCTCGAAGGGCGGCCCGACACCTCCAGGGCTGAAGGCGGCTCCGCGAACCCTGAGGAGGCTCATCTACGCAGGCGTCAAGTTGAGGGCGGTGACTCCGGGACCGCCGGCTCGCAGTGCTGCTGAGCTGCGTGTTTGCATTTTAGCTTCTCGGAGACAGGGCGCGTGCGCAGCGGACCGGCGTGTCGCTGCGCTTGCCGTCTCCTCGGTCCTCACCCGGCGTGCTTTAGTCTGCCCGGTCGGAAATGCTGCCCGCACTGGTTGTGGATTGGACCCTTGTCGTCCACAGGGTGGTGGTTTTCCCTTCTCCGAGTTGTATTTATTTTGTTCCTGTTGAGAATGTTGTCAGGTGCCGTGGAGTCGGTTTTGCCTCCTAGCGACTCTGACAACAGAACGGACACCTTCGGCTCCGGGGCCACCCTCACTCGTGCTCAGCAGTCACCTCACTGAGGGGCTTCGCTTGAGAATACACACAACAAAACACACCGATTCAATGGCTCCCACACGTACCGTTTAGTGACATTGAGGACATTCTTCGACTTGGGGAACCCTCACTCTCCTTTTCTGAGTCGTCCTTCCCCGATTAACCTAAACTCACTGCCCCCTAAAGTGCCTATCTAATCTTTCAAGTCGCTGTTGTCAATTTGATCCCATGTAAGTAGTTCTTAGGGAGCTCTGGTGGCATAGTGCCTAAGACGTTTGATTGCTAACCAGACGGCTTGTGGTTCAAACCCACCAGCCACTCCTCAGAAGGAAGACTAGGCAATCTACTTCCATAGAGATACGACCTCGGAAACCCAAGGAGGGGTCGCTGTGAGTCGCATCGGCTTGACAGCAGTGAGTTTGGTTTGGAAGTAGTTCTTAAAAGAGCAGAGTCCTCAAGGTAGACGTGTTTTACTTGTTAAGCTAAACTTGTATGGCTTTAAGGAGACATCACAGAATATTCTGGTTTAAGGTTTCAAGATGATCTCCGGGCAATAGTTTCAGGGGTTCCTCTGCCCTCAATGGTCCCAGAAAATCTGGAGACCATGAGAATTTGAAATTCTGTTCTGCATTTCCCCCCTTTTGATCAGGATTCTTCTGTGGAATCTGCTCAAAACGTTCAGTAGTGGTAGCTGGGCACCATCCAGTTCTTCTGGTCTCATGGCAAGGTGGGCAGCTGTTGGAGGCAGTTAGCCCCACATTTCACATCTTGAAGACCCCGGCGCCATACAAAGAGCAAGGAACGTAGGGTCTCGTTGGCTGATTCTCAGAAGTAGATCACCAGGGTTTTCTTCCTAGTTCCTCTTCAGCTGGAAACTCTGCTGAAACCTGTTCAGCCTCACGGGAGCGTGGAAGCCTCCACTGACAGACGGCCGGTGGCCGTGCCTGACATGCTCTGGCAGGGAGTCGAGCCCAGGTCTCTCACCTGGAAGGCAGAAGTCCAGAAGCAAGATGGTGCATCTCAGAACGACGGCACTGTGCTCTGTGGAGTTCAGTTTGTAGAACGCCAGCCTGAGACCTGCCTGTGAATCCAGTCCCTTCAGCAGCATCTGCACACAACCCTGAACCACTTCTAAAAGGTCCAGCGTGCCAGCACCTGGTGTGGGAAGAGCTGCTTGGAACACACGCCAGGCCCGAGACGCCACCTGAGTTAGCTGGCTGGAAAGGAAGCACCTCAGGTCCGTGAGGCATCCCCTGTGGCCTCAGCTGAGACGGTAAAGTAGCATCTCTTGCTGGGCAGGTCTCTTTCCAACCCTGGGAGGGTTCAGAATCAAACAGATGACATTCAGTTCAGTGGGCAGAATATCAACCTACCCCTCCTGAGAGCCCCCCACAACGACAGGAAAGGGAGAGCCCACTAGGGCACAGGGGGATATTGGAGAGAGGTGGCCAGTGGTAGCTGCCTTAGCAGACTGGGGCACAAGGTCAGTATCCCGGGGTTGGACGACGTGAAAGCCCAGCCGGACACAGGAGCCGCCTCCAGGCCTCTCTCCCTGTAGGCTGTGGCTAACGGGCACCAGCCTGGCCCAGTAGAGGCTGAAGGTGAGAGGCCTGGGGCAGAGCCCTGCTCTGAAAGTTGGGGGAACAAGGGGGCTTCCTGCTGCTTCGCCCGCCTCCCCCCAGGTTCCCAGAGTCTTGTCTTCAACGTGTGCCACTCAGACTCCTTGGAGAAACTGACGAGCTCAAGAGAAGAGACCACACTTGCAGGTCCCCCAGCAGAATAGCCGAGATGTATCTCTGGCCTCAAAGCTGCCCCGCCCCGCCCCCAGGAGGCCCCACTCTCAAACGAAAGTGGACAGCCTGGGAGCAGCAGGCCGACAGGGAAAAGCCAGAAGGGAAAGACTCGGCAGGAGCAGACGAGAGAGAAGCAGAGGGAAGTGAAGTCCTTGGAGACAGCAGGGGGGTGCTGCGCCCAGAACAAGCACAGGCAACGAGAAGGGGCTCAGCCGGCGGAGCGCAATCTCCCAGGCTGCGTACAGCCGGCTCGGGAGGAAGCAGGAGGCGCAGTCGCCACTGGGGCCCTGGCGGCAGGACGGCTGAGCACTCTCAGCTGCTAACCTGGAGGTTGGCGGTGCGAACCCACCCAGCGGCTCTGCAGGCCAAAGCCCGGCAACTGCTCTGTAACGGGTAGAGCCTAGAAAACGCCGTGGGGCGGTGCCACTCTCACATGGGGTGGCACACTGGTCAGCACCCCTCCCGCCGGGCCCAACAGGATGGGTGCAGGGACAGTGGGCTCGCCACCACCACCAGGGGGAGCCGCAGGCACCACTCTCTGATCTGCGCTTCCCCTGTGCAGTTTGACACTGACTGTGGGGTCCTCCTGTGCCAGGCACTGTCCTCATTGCTCCACACGCATGCACTCATGGGATCCTCACAACCACCCCGCGGGGTGGGAACTGCTGTTATGCCCCCACTTCTGTTGTTGTTTGGTCAGTTCTGACTCATAGTGACCCCACGTACAACAGAACGGAACACTGCCCAGTCCCGCGGCATCCTCACAGTTGTTGCTGTGTGAGCCCTTCTCGTAGCCACCGTGTCAGTCCGTGTTGTTGGGGGTCTTCCTCTCTGGCACTGACCCCCACCTTACCCAGCATGATGTCCTTCTCCAGGGACTGGTCCCACCTGACAACAGGACCAAAGTGGGTGAGATGAAGGCTCGTGTTCAGCTCCAAGGGGCACTCTGGCTGCACTTCCTCCAGGACACTGTGTCGGCTCTTCGCCGGCACCATCATTCAGAGGCATCAGCTCCGCTCCCGTCTTGCTTATTCACTGTCCAGCTCTCTCTCTCTCTCACTCACACACACACACACACACACACACACACACACACGAGGTGACTGAAAATACCATGACCTGGATCAGGGGCACCTTAGTCCTCAAAAGGACTTTTTTTTTAAATGAAACACTTTAAAGAGGTCTTTTGCAGCAGATTTGCCCAATGCGATATGACATCTGATTTCCTGACTGCTGCTCCCTTGGGTGTTAATTGTGAATCTAAGTAAAATGAAATCCCTGACAATGTCAATCTTTTCTCCATTTATCGTGATGCTGATTATTGGTCCACTTGCGAGGATTTTTTGTTTTCTTTGTGTTAGGATGTAATCTATACTGAAGGTTGTAGTCTACAATCTTCATCAGTAAGTGATTCAAGTCATTTTCACTTTCAGCAAGCAAGGTTGTGTCATCTGCATAATGCAGGTTGTTAATGAGTTTTCCTTCAATCCTGATGTCACGTTCAATCCTGATGTCACGTTCTTCTTCACATAGTCCAACTTCTCGGATTATGTACTCAGTCCACAGGTTGAGTAAGTGTGGTGAAAAGATCCAGGTCTGACACACACCATTCCTGATTTTAAACCATGGGGTATCCCCTTGTTCTATTTGAACCACTGCCTCTTAGTCTGTGCACAAGTTCTGCATGAGCAAAAATAAGTGTTCTGGAATTCCCATTCTTTACAATGTTATCCATAATTTGCCATAATCCACACAGTCGAATGCCTTTGTGTAGTCGATAAAGCACAGGTAAGCATCTTCTGGTATTACCTGCTTTCAGCCCAGATCCATCTGACATCAGCAGCGTTATCCCTCTTTTCACATTCTCTTCTGAGTCCGGCTTGAATTTCTGGCAGTTCCCTGCCAGTGTACTGTTGCAACTGTTTTTTAATTATATCCAGCAAAATTTTACTTGCATGTGGTATTTGTCTGATACTTTGCACAGTCTGTTGGGTCACCTTTCTCTGGAATGGACAAAAATAAGGATCTCTTCCAGTAGGTCGCCAGGTAGCTGTCTTCCCAGTTGCCATTCTTACAGATGAGAAAGTGGAGGCACAGACCAGTATCACACAGCAGGAAGCAGCAGATCCCCAGGCCAAATGGCTCCAAACCCTGTGACCACCGCATTACTGAGTCTTTTGAAAGATAAATCCAACATCTAAATAGAGATCCAGAAGATTAGGAGAAGGAAGGGAGAAGTCGGTAAAGCATGCAAGCAAATCTAGGCCTGGATGGCCAGGCCTGTGGAGGGGCCAGTGGGTGGAAGGGAAGGGCCACATCTAGGCATTTTGAGAATTCCCGAAGCACTGGGGCGGAGAGAAGGCCCTAAAAGTTTTCAGAGAGAAACCACAGGCAGAAGGTCAGAAGTCAAGAAGGTACAAGACTTCTTGGGACTAAAAGAAAA